TATTTTGATCAAGGTTATGAAGCGCCTGGTGTGCGGAAGCGGCTGCGGCGCTGGTGGAAGAGGAAACCCGCAGATACCGACCAACTAAGAACTACCTGAGCTACTTGACAGCCCTGGATTATTCTGCTTTTGAAACTGACATAATGAGAAATGAATTTGAAAGACTGGCTGTTCTACAACCAATTGAATTGCTCAGTATGAAACGATATGAACTTCCAGCTCCTTCCTCAGGCCAGAAAAATGACATTACTGCGTGGCAAGAATGTGTAAACAATTCTAAGGCCCAGTTAGAGCATCAGGCATTTCGAATTGAGAATTTGGAACTGATGTCACAGCATGGATGTAATGCCTGGAAAGTATACACAGTGAAAATCTAGTTCCTATGATTGAACATGCACAGAAAGAGCCTCAGAAGTTAAGAAAATATGTTCAAGATTTAAACTGGCAGCGAAAGAACATGCAACTCACAGCTGGATCTAAATTGAGAGAAATGGAATCAAATTGCGTGTCCTTGGTCAGTAAGAATTATGAGATTGAATGGACTATTGTGCAACTAGAAAATGAAATCTATCAACTCAAGCAGCAACACGGAGAGGCAAACAAAGAAAACATTGGGCAAGACTTCTGAAAAGACAGATTCATTTTGTGTATAGAAAGGAAGAAAAGTTGAGTTTTCACAGAATGCGTCTGAACTAAGAGGACAGTAACAGCTCACAGTGGCAGTTGATAGTTAAATGTTTAAGAAATCCTAGAGTATGCGGACGGTTGTGTTAATTCTGTTTATATATCTTAGCAAAAATAAAATTTTCTAACGTGGTAAAAAAAAAATAGACAACTAGACAATAGAGAAATTGCACACGAACTTTATGGCCACCCTGTGTTAGCCATCACATTTCTATATTGACCACTTAATCCCTTGAGGAGGCATGGAATGGGAGGAGCGGTTCACACCACCCATTTGCTCAGCTGGGAGAAATTCACAGCCTGAGAGGGTTCCAGGAAGGCAGAGGTGTTAGGGTAAAGGAGTAGGGTGAACATGGGAGCTGGACAAAGAGACCCCTGATACAA